TACGGTTAAGTCAGAGATTAGATTCGGAGCTCATTCAAGATGCGTCCAGACGCCATGCAGGTCAGACCCTACCGTGGCCCTATTGTGTTTTATACTCCACCTCCTATAGTCTGTAAGCTTATTTGAGCAGGGTGCTCTTCAACCTATTGTTCCTGTAAGTTTTTTGTAATTGACTTTATTTTTATTTATTGTTAAATCTCCCCCTTTTTATAATACTGTAAAATATCAGTTGGCGCTATATAAATTCCAATAATAATAATAATAATAATAATAATAAGCAAGCTTGGAACTAGAGTATGGGTTGCTAATGTTGATTTTGTTCATATGGGATGTCTGACGTCTGCACGCACAGCATGCTGGCCACAGGTATCTTATGGCGGAACAGAGCCTCCTCCATGTTGCCCATGTCCTTACACCTAAGCCCCTCTCCTTGACATGTGGTAGTGGGAGTGGGATGGGGAAATGACATGAGCGGAACAGTCTGCAGGGAGAACTTGGCATGACATAGGCACCGTCGTTATTCGGCAGGTGCTATTTTAAATACAGATTAAATAAGACTCGGACACCGCTTTATTCTGTTGGAGTATAAAGTCCACAGCTTTATTAATTCTTATTAAATATATATATAAATTAACATATTAGGGCACAATACCCATGACAATGAACCTACCACTTGAACAATAGTTAACATTCCAATAACATTTACTTGTAACACCCGGCCCACCAAAGAGGCCCCATACCACACTGTTAACTGTAGGGGTGTACCCAGACACTCCTACCCACCTAGGTTCGTAGCCACCGAAGAGCTTGAACCTACCAACACTCACTTACATCTGGCCTACTCCAGCCTAGGCCTTGGCCTGTCCATTTCCAATTCCATCCAACTTCCAACTTTACCACGCCCTGTTCCCGCCGCTGTGACCAAACGGGAACACATCTCAACATAAAGGGAGGGTGGGACAATTAACAGGTGAGTGAAGCTCAGATTAAAATGGTCACTCTCTGAGATGGCCGCTATTTAACTGTCCTTAGACCACCCCCACGCTGCCACCTCCTTTTCCCTGCCCACTCTCTGGCCCTGTCAAGGCCCACTCTTCCACTGCACTGTTCTGTGGGCTCCAAGAGTGCTGCAATGAAGATATGTTTTAGCTTTTTTATTTTTTTACTTGAAGGGGTGAGCCAGCAAGCAAGGGTTACAACAGCAGTGTGAATATACAGTTGGTTTTTTTTCAGGAGTAATTCTTTTAGTGGAAATGTTATATATATATATGAGGCATTTAATAATCCTTACTGATAAGTGAATCAATTTTTTGCACTTGATGTGTAAAAACTATTAGCAAAACGGTTAAAAAAAAAAATATATATAACACATTAACCCCTTCACAACCAAGTAGATTGCCAAAAATGCCTTCAATTTAAAATTCACTTTGAATTTCTAACAATTCTCACTATAGTGAGTAAACACAATATTGTTATTTTTACTCTAGGTCCACAAGAGTAAATCATACTGTTTATTTTAAGTTGGAATTTGAATCAAGGCATAACCTTAATTATGCAAGTTACATCAACATCATTAAAGTTCAGAAATAATATCACAACCAGGCAGCAAGGCATGACTTTGCGGACATAGCAGATAAAACCTCATAATATTTTGTAAGTGTCAATGTGAGCAATTGGTGTCCCTGTGCAATTTTACTGGGTGTTCAAAGGCTTAAATCGAAAAAAATTCTAGTCAGGTCCCAAGCAAGTGGCTGCAATGAACTGTTTACCATATTTATCTATCCTATCCTATCCTATAATATCATATAATATCATATCCTCTCTACCTTTCTCCTCTAGAGCAGTGATTATAGCTTTACTATAGCCTTTCCCACACACATTAAACTAGTCTGAATGTAGGGGGTAGAATAATCTTTATTGCATGCACACAGCTACTTATACACAGAAATACTGACTCTCCCTGCAGGGGGTCCATCATACAATAGAATGTGCAGTACAATTGTCCCTCCCCGGTACCCCTCTGTCTGGGGACTTAATTATCCCCAGCTAAAACAATCAGCTCCCTTCTGTGCCCTCATAGTCCTAGAGGCAAAGCACACAAAATGTCCACCAGAACTCCTTTTCCCTGTATTTGGAGGTCAGCGGACAAAGTGATACCCGCTTAAAGATTTATCAGACCTCAGCACAGGTCCGTGCGAGCAACAGGAGGCAGCGAATGGGGTCCGTGCTATCCAAAACTCCAGACTGGGACAAATTCTATACGCACAAAGGTGAAACACTGAAAACAGAGAGGTGCGATGATAGAAACATAGAATGTGATGGCAGATAAGAACCATTCGGCCCATCTAGTCTGCCCAATTTTCTAAATACTTTCATTAGTCCCTGGCCTTATCTTATAGTTAGGATAGCCTTATGCCTATCCCACGCATGCTTAAACTCTTTTACTGTGTTAACCTCTGCCTATCCCAAGCATGCTTAAACTCCTTTACTGTGTTAACCTCTATGATGTGGGCGTGATATGAAATGTAGGGATAGTCAGGCAGACAGAGGACCTGCAGAGAGTAGAGGGGTTATAGTGGCTGGAATAACACATTAGAAAAGCGACCAAAGACTAAGAATAGGGTTTAACAAGGACCAGTGAGGGCTATTGGAACTAGTAAGAGTAAATATGCTAAGGATTGAGTAAATATATGCAATATAAACAGTTATAATGTAAGGAGAACTAATACCCTGACCTGTACTCAGCAGAAGCAGCAAAGAAAGAGGAGGAGTCAAGGAGCTCAAGACTTTATGTAGAATATGACTCTGCTTTTGATTGCTTTAAACTTTATGATTGATCTGTGCTTCTGGAGTTTTAAGTAAATAAAATTAATGTAAAATATGAAGCCTCCTGTCATGTGGTAAAAATTGCATAATGCTAGCATTCACATATCTTCATATGTTGGGCCGGAAATCATCACAGGGTCTTAGAGACCCTTCTCTTCTGCTGCCATAGACTTAGGAAACAACAAAGAAGTTTCTGCTTTCCCTTATCTCTATAATAATTGCCAGAAAATACTCAATCAAGTCACACCACACAAATGTAGTATCAATAAGCATTCAAAGGTCTGATGCAAGTAATAGTCTTAGATTTAGGAACCCAATTAAGAACTGCAGGTGTTAGAAAGAATGATATGTTTTGCAAGTGCAGGATGTTACAAAAAATATAGTGCAAGCTGGTGTCAGGGCGCAAGAACACAAGAACAGAAAAATATTGTATTCTTTAAAAAAATGCAAGTTTAACTCTTTCAAAGAATGAGTATTTAATGTTATAATCAGGCCTACTGACTAGAGTTGAGCGGACACCTGGATGTTCGGGTCCGGCGGGTTTGTCCGAACTTTGAAAAAAAGTCCGGTTTCGGGCTCGAACTTGACCCCGAACTTGAACCCGAACCCCATAAAATACCTAAAAATTAAAAATACAGCTGAGCCATAAAATAGCACTAGATAGAATCTTTGATTTTAGATTTGGAAGAACATAAATCAAAATCTAAAGCATGGCTGTCAGGAGGATCAACAGAATTATCCATTTGAGAGAGGGTTGGAGTGCAGGGTATTCTCTTTCAGTGTTCAAACTGAGCTCAACTCCTGATGCATGGAGAAAAGGCCTTCACAAGCCTCTGCTATTGTGTACATAGTTTATACAAAGTGACCCATAGGTTGAGGAGGCGGTGACTGTGGTGGTGTAGGTGGAAGCGGCGGTGGAGGAGGAGGAGGTAGCCAACACTGTTTTTTTTGGGGTTTTTTAATTGGAATAGCCCCCAAAATATTTGGACATATAAAAAAAGAAACATGTGCGGCCTGCGGTGCATTTCTTGCAGTCCTGATGCATGGAGAAATGCTCAACTCCTGAAGCATGGAGAAAAGGCCTTCAAAAGCCTCTGCTGTTGTGTACATAGTTTATACTAAGTGACCCATAGGTTGAGGAGGTGGTGACCGTGGCGGTGTAGGTGGAAGCAGCGGTGGAGGAGGAGGATGAGGTAGCCAACACTGTTTTATATATATATATATATATATATATATATATATTTTATTGGGGTAGCCCCCAAAATATTTGGACATATAAAAAAAGAAACATTAACGAAGCGGTGCATTTCTTGCAGTCCTGATGCATGGAGAAATGCTCAACTCCTGATGCATGGAGAAAAGGCCTTCACAAGCCTCTGCTATTGTGTACATAGTTTATACTAAGTGACCCATAGGTTGAGGAGGCGGTGACCGTGGTGGTGTAGGTGGAAGCAGCGGTGGAGGAGGAGGATGAGGTAGCCAACACTGTTTTTTATATATATATATATTTTTTAATTGTGGTAGCCCCCAAAATATTGGGACATATAAAAAAAGAAACATTTGCGGCCTGCGCTGCATTTCTTGCAGTCCTGTTGCATGGAGAAATGCTCAACTTCTGATGCATAGAGAAAAGGCCTTCACAAGCCTCTGCTATTGTGTACATAGTTTATACTAAGTGACCCATAGGTTGAGGAGGCGGTGACCGTGGCGATGTAGGTGGAAGCGGCGGTGAAGGAGGAGGTAGCCAACACTGTTTTTATATATCTATTTTTTATTTTAATTGGGGTAGCCCCCAAAATATTGGGACATGTAAAAAAAGAAAACTGTCCCGCAGAGCGATTGACCCATGCGTGCTGCATCTGAAACTCCACTATCGCCTGCTGCTGCTCGCACAGTCTCATAAGGCAGTGAGCGGGAAGGCCGAAGTTACGCTGCAGTGGAGACAGGCGAGCAGCAACAGGGTGAGAACGCCAAAAGCACGCACAGACGGTCCGCACTTTCTGCAGCAGCTCTGATATATCTGGGTATACACTGTGGCATCACAAGGGCCACCCAGATTTGGCTCAACTCCCATCAAGCCAAGTTTCCAGAGGAGATCACCCAGCTCGTCATGCTAGAGCACTTTTTCAATGTGCTCCCCAACGAGAAGGCGACGACGCATTCGTATGTCAATCCATATCAACTTTCGATGCCATTGACTGCGCCTACCATGGTGACCATGGGTAACGGTGAATCAGGGTTCGATTCCGTACAGGGACCCTGAAAAATGGCTACCACATGCAAGGAAGGCAGCAGGCACGCAAATGACCCACTCCCAACGCGGGAAGGTAGTGAGGACAAATAAAATACAGGACTCTTTAGAGGCCCTGTAATTGTAATGAGTCCACTTGAAATCCTTTAACTCTGATCAATTGGAGGGAAGTCTGGTGCAGAGCCACTGACCCATGCGTGCAGCAGCTGAAACTGCACTTTTGCCTGCTGCTGCTCAAACAGTCTCTCCAGCATGTGCAAGGTGGAGTTCCACCTTGTGGGCATGTCGCATATGAGGCAGTGAGCGGGAAGGCCAAAGTTACGCTGCAGCGCATACAGGCGAGCAGCAGGGTGAGAACACCGAAAGCGCACACAGCCGCTACAGTGAATGTCACATCCTGTTCCAAGTTGCGGATCAGTCTGGTGATTGCTTCTGGTATCCAGTACTCTTTTTACTGAAGCTGCATCAGGGTCCTGGTATGTGGCCGCACAAACGCTGGTGCTCAACACCAGGGGGCGTGCGGTTACCCTGCACCAGACCCTGCTAATCCATTCCACACTGTGACTCCTAACTTCTACATCAGGCATACTGGGTCCCGGTCATCCGACCACCACCCAGACAGTGTCTGGGTCCCGGTCGCCAGACTGCAAAACTGTGAATGGCTCGTTAAATCTGTTATGGTTCTTTTTATCGCTTCAACTGTTACTTGTATAACTGTGGGAATTCTAAAGATAATACATGCCGACGAGTGCTAGGGGACGGATGCTCCGCTTTTGCACTCTGCTCCCTCTTATGCTGTGCTGGTGCCTCTGTGTGACCAGCGCCTCTTCCTCCAAACTGCACACGTCACGCGCATGACCTTGATTCCATGTGGGGTCTACGACCTCGTCATCCTCCACATCATCTTCCACCCACTCCTCAACCCTGCCCTCCTTGCCAGTATGGACACTGCAGAAAGCCACAGCAGTTGGCACCTGTGTTTTTCCAGTATGTAAAGTCTGCAAAGGACATATGGACATTGTTTTAGAATTGTATTCAGGCAACTGTTTTCCCTATAAACTGGCCTCTCTGTTTGACTTGTGAGGGTATTGCCCCAGAATTACAATATTGTTTAAGTACCTTTTAGCTATTGATAACTGGTTTAAATATAGCAGCTTGTTATCTGGTAGTTTACAGTGTAGAAAATATCAATCTATTTTCTATCACTTAGATCTGTGTAACAAGTGTTGTAGGTGTTAAACAATATTACACGTGACCGATGTAGTAAATTCGAATCAAAGTTCCATTTGCAAAAAAAATTCTCGCCCATCTTCTGTGGGTCATTGCATTTTTAAGATGTAGACTTATTGTATCCCACTAGCCATGCACAGGTAGATTGTCTGGCACGTTGTTTTGGTGTTTGGTTTTTAACTTTGTAGTTGCGTCTTTACACAATATAGAAATGTATATTAATGCTTCTGTATATGAAGCGATCACAACAATAACACTTATTTTTCACTTTAAAAAAAAAAAATCAGGCTAAACAAAAATTTGTAATTAACAAAATGACATCTGAAAAGCACATGAAAGGATGCTGTATGATTTAAAAAAAACACAATACATGAAGGTCCTGTTCACTAGAGTGTGTAGTCATGAATGTAACCAGTAAAACTTTGTTTTTACAGCCACTGGTTGGCCCATATATATTTAAATTTTTTTTTTATTTTGTTGTAGCATGACTTGTAGCTATGAAGTGCATGCCCCAAAATGTACTATTTAGCAGATTAGCAGCAAAACAATTAGAATATTTACCACTGCACTGTAAGCACACTATTAGACGCTTCTATTTGACTCTCAGATATGAAGTGCACACCCCAAATATACTATTTAGCACCGAAAAAATAAATTAAAAAAATTGACTTTTTAAAACTCCAATGTAAGCAGCAGATTAGCAGCAAAACAATTAGAATGTTTACCACTGCACTGTAAGCACACTATTAAACGCTTCTATTTGACTCTCTGATATGAAGAGCAGGCCCCAAAATGTACTATTTAGCAGATTAGCAGCAAAACAATTAGAATGTTTACCACTGCGCTGTAAGCACACTATTAGATGCTTCTATTTGACTCTCAGATATGAAGTGCACCCCACTAAAATACTATTTAGCAGTTTAGCACCCACAAAATTGTAATTTTTAAAACTGCAATGTGACAGCAGTATTTGACGCTTCTATTTGACTCTCAGATTTGAAGTGCACCCCACTAATGTACTTTTTAGAACCTAAAAAATTTTACGTTTTAAAACTGCAATATGACAGCAGTATTTGACGATTCTATTTGACTCTCAGATATGAAGTGCACCCCACTAATGTACTATCCCACTAATGTACTATTTAGCACCAAAAGAAATTTACTTTTTAAAACTCCGATGAAACCGCAGTATTTGAAGCTTCAATTTGACTCTCATTTATGAAGTGTACCCCACTAATGTACTTGTTTGCAGAATTCTTTCCTAAGCTGTCCCTCACAGCTGCAGCATCCTCTCCCTACACTAATAAGATCTCATGTGCGTGCGGCACTATGCGACTCCGGCTTACATATAGAGGCTGGTTCACATGCTGCTCTGGCCAATCACAGCCATGCGATTAGTAGGCATGGCTGTGATGGCGTCTAGGGCACACGAGTCAAACGCTTGTTGATTGGCTGCCCTGCAGCCTTTGAAAACACGCCATTAAATCGTCGAACTACAACCCTAACATACAGTGATATGTCCGTGTTCGGGTCCGGGGTCCAAAAAACTTAATGTTCGGTATGAACCCGAACTTTAAAGTCCGGATTCGCTCAACTCTACTACTGACCATTTGGTGTTTCAAGCTACGTATACAGTAATACCTTAGCTACATAATAAGAAATACAGAAGTAGAAAGCAGGACATGAGACTGTCGTCCTGTAACATGTATAGCTCTGTATATGCACAAAGCATTGCATAGCTTAAACATTTTTTTCCAACATCATAATATAGTAATGAAATAAAATAAATAATTCTATTCATATGCACATTGTTTTGTTTTATGCAGTATGAGTAAACTCTGGACTGTTTTGTCATATGCAGTATCAGCACACTTTAACCCCTTAAGGACACAACTTCAGAAATAATAGGGAATCATGACGGAATATTGCCATCATATGTCCTTAAGGGGTTAAACATTGTTTCACACAGTATCAGAGCACTCGAGGCATTGTGTTGTATACAGTGTTAGTTTGTTATAGACATGTTTTAGTTGTATACAGAATCAGTTCACTCTAGGGATTTTTTCATTTTCTACCTTACTATTTCACTCTGGGCAATGTTTCATTATGTCCGCTCACTCTTAGCCCTGTTTCTTTACACAAGTTCCCTCTACAAAGTGTTGTTATATGCAATTTCAGTTTACTTTTAGTTTGGTTTGTTTCATGCAGTGTTAATTAACTCTATATATATTATTACAAAAAAACAAGCTTTTGGCTTTGAAACATTACATGTAATGACAGGTCAGCCAAGTCCAAACTGGCATAAACATATTCAGGAAGTACTTTGATCTAGGTCAGCCAAACACAGTTTTTGAAACTTTAGCATGATAGCCAAAATTTTCCAAAGCCAATTGTCACAGAGTTTCAGTTTAGTGTTAAAGTTACGCCAAAATGCTATAGTTATCCTAGTATCCTCTGATAATATATTAGGTGGCCTAAGAGGCTTGGAGAGCATCTTGCAAATCACACATTTTCTTACTCTCCAACCCACAGTCAGAATTGGTAAAGAGGAGGTACTGGCAAATGTCTGATACTTTAATTAATTATTACTCTGCTATTCCACTTTATCATGGCATTACAATATTGTTTTATTACTATTTTGTTTTATTTATTTTTGCTTATTTTTAATAGTTACATTAATATATACATTGCCTAATAAGTGTTGCTTTCAATCTGAGCAAACCATGATTTCTTAACAAGTTTAATGTTTACTCTAAAGTGAATATTTGCATCTTTTAGCTTGTAAAAATGTGTTCCAGTAGATAATATGTTAATAGAATTGTAACAAACAGGTCATGCATTTACTTAGTCTGTGCCTATGTGCTTTTGTTTAATTAGTCTGTGCCGGTTGGCTTATGGGATAGTAGACAGGCTCTGAGGCTATACTTCCCTTAACTATAAGTAGCTAATTAGATGATCAAAAGTACATAACAATGATGACATTGATGAAAATGTTCAGAGACCTAATTAATATTGTGAAATCTCTGTGGATCATTTAACAGTGTACTTTGCTAAAGTTTTTTATTCTCTTCTTAATTTCTCATTATTTGATGTCGACGAAATACATTCAAGTTACTGCTAATAATAATTTGTGATTTAAAAATGACATAATGGTGATATACAATAATAATCAATCATATATTTTTAAATATTCTATATACTAGATATATTTTACTTTTCAAATTAAAAATGCTTCTTTTATTAATACTATTATCAGATGATTTTTTTTAAAATATTAAATCATTGAGAAAGTGTATGCAAAAAAATGTAATCATTTGAAAACTGATCTAAACAATATTAAATCAAGGTAATCAATTAAATCAAGGTTTAGAAATGGATAGAGGTGTACAAATAGCCCTTAAAATTGGCTGTCCTTAATGCAGAGACAGGTAAGATGTCTGACTGAGGGACAGGCAAAAACAGAGTCTAGTCAAGGAGTACAGAATGGAGAACAGACAAAGTGTGCTTAAAACTGTAATTTTTGGTCTCTAAACTATTTGTATTCATTACATTTTTCTAGAAATTGTGTAAAATGTGTTTGCTTCAGTGTTTACATTCTGGTATTTTTCACTGAAATATTAATTTCAGTAAAGACCACCAAATGTACAGTAGTGGAAAAAAAGTTAATAAAAATAAAACAATTGTATAACATGACAGGAGGCTTCATATTTTGCATTAACTTTCTCTACTAACACCATAGCAGCAAAGAAAAAACAGTTGAAATAAAGAACCATCAGAGTACAGACAGAGTCTATATAAGCAGGCGTACATCCATATAACTTCTTCCTTCTTTGCTGCTCCATCACAAGTCAGGTCAGAGTACTGCTTCTTTAATTCAATGTATATTGGAAATAGATATATATTGTATGTTTGGTTTTCCTGGGGGTGGTAGGGTTTGTGACTACAAACTCTCCTCAGGCTCTCCCACAGACTGAGGCAGCCTGTTGGTCTTTTCCCCTCTCTCCCCTCCCCTCTCCTCATGGGTGGCTACGTTTGCCACTTTCACTCTGGATGCTTCCCACGCTGTTCACACTGCTCCTGTGTGAACAGAATGGGCAGTTCAGCTACTTTCTATGTTCGTGCCTTTGGGGCCGTTCATTTCCCCGTTTATGCCTGGATACTACACGAACGGTTAACCAGGTCTTGTGCCACGACCTGCGATTCGTGGAACTCCATTCCCCCCTTCCCCCTGCTGCTACCTTCCCGTGCTGTTCAGATTGAATTCAGTGTGAACAGACCGGGCAGTCCCTCCTCCATTTCGGGCATTTCGGCACAAACTGAGCACTCACTGGATTCCCCTTTTGGGCCTATTTGCACGAATGGTCAGAACTTGGTGAACTACCATATGTTCACCTGTTTGCGTTCGGCTGTTCTTTAGATGAACAAATCTGCCGAATGCAGTGTTACTTACCCTGTATCCCTTGAAGCCTTTCGCGAGCTTTTAAAGTGACAGTTAGCCCAGAACTCGCGAGACCTGCGGCGGACATCTTGTTGGTGTGTTTGGCGTGGAAGTGAACCCTCAGCAAGAAGAAGCTTCTGATTCCCTCAAGCCGACTGGCAAAACTAATTGCACCAGGGAGAAGAATCAGATGATTCCTCCAGGGAGAGACAGCGCCCGGCGAAACGCCATTGGAAGAGCGAAGAGTCTCGGAAGGCCGCTAACAAGGGCAAGGCGCCCCTCAAACAAAATAAAAGCCTCGCACCCGCGGCCCCAGCGTTCCCTAAGGAAGTCTCCTCAGAAGAGGACAGGGAGAGGTCTCGGATGCAGACGACGGCGATTGGGGCTCCAATGCCTACATCAGGGAGACCTTTCTGGATGAGCCACAGAGTAAAGGAGATGTGGAGTCTTCCATGACGACTGCTACTCAAGAACAGGAGGTCTTTCTGGACGCCATTGGACAACAGATGTTTGATCCCAGAAACATACGCCATCCCCGCTCCGGGGAATGGGCTCCACCTGACCACCTCCTAAAATTTATGCACTTCTGGATCTGCAAGCCTTTGGAGAAACATGTCCTCAAAAGGATGCAGGCGGAGTGCCCCAGACCTTCCCTGCCAGATAAGGTGGTGTTTACGCTGGAGTTTGACCAACTCATGCTGGCCTTCATGGAATGAGGCAGTCGCGACCCATGCAGAGGGGTTGAACGTAGCTTCAAAGGGGCGCAAGACAAACTCCTGGATGCAATGGGGCCACTGGCCCGGGTGATGTACCTGGCGGATAACGCTTACGCCAGAGCAGAGTCCTTTGACGCGGATATGGTGCGTGAATAGGCACATGACATCAGGGAGTGGACCTAAAGGGGTTTCTGCTTCCTGGGAAATACCAATGCGGTCCTCTCGACAGAGCAGCGCCGCGCAGCACTCTTCCGCATCGACCCAAAGTTGGCTGACCTTGGGATAAAAGAATTAGGTCCGCAGGCACAGGGCAAACTTTTTGGAGAGGCGTTCATGAAGGAGCTGAACAAGCACGTGAACGTATTCACTTCTTTGAACAGGGCCCACACCTCCATGCGTAAAATGTTCAGAGGCAACCCCTCCGGGGGTGTTTTTTCCAGGGCTGGTCGGCAAAGGGGCTGTGCCACCAGCCGCTTTTGGCCATCAGGACCCTGAAATGGACCACCTCAGCACTTCTATCCACAACAGTCCTATCTGGACTTGGGTGCCAGACAACATTATCCCTACTACAAGAGGGGATCGGACAGAGGCCAGGGAGGCCGCGGACGTGCCCGCACAAGATTTCCTACATGTAAGAAAAAAAATATGCCTAACACACACTAAAAATATTAACCATGACTGCCGGCAGTGTTTCTCTTTTTTTCCAGAATTGGGCAAAACTATCCACAGACGCTTGGGTGTTACAGATGGTCAGAGGCTATCACATCGAATTACAGACATGCCCCATACAAAGGCGACCCCCTTACCCAGCATGCTTCACCGACACAGACGCCCAACTCATAGAGTTGGAGCTATGCGAACTCCGCACAAAAGGCTCTATACAACCCGCGCACCCACAAGGGGGCTTCTTCAGCAACATGTTCCTCGTCCGCAAAAAAAAACGGGGACTTTAGATCAACTTAAGGGAACTGAACGTTCACGTTATATACTGGTACTTCAAGATGGAAGGCATACACCTACTACAGGATCTCCTGCAAGAAAGGGACTGGTTCACGCGTCTGGACCTGACACATAACTGTCAATTCCTATTCACAAGGACAGCCGACCGTTTCTTCGGTTCCTATGGCAATTTACTTGCTTCCCTTTCGGACTCAGCTCCGCACCATGGTGCTTTATGAAAATGCTGAAACTGGTGGTGGCCCATCTCAGGACTCGGGGAATCAGATGCATCATCTACTTGGACGACATACTCCTGTTCTGCAAGACAAGCGAACTGGCTTCACACCACACCGAATACACAATACAATTACTAGAATCTTTGGGATTCATTGTCAACAGGAACAAATCTGCACTGACCCCCACTCGATCAATTCAATTCCTGGGCTTCGAAATAGACTCCAGGTCTTGCACTCTCCACCTTCCGGCTACCAAGGTGATGGCCATCAGGAAAGAGATACGCAAGGTCCTCAAGCTGGACTCCATTCCACTTCAACAACTGGCGCAGATAGTAGGACTTCTATCAGGGCCAGACTGGCTCACCGGGATACCGGAAAATTTCCCGGTGGGCCGTCGGCACCTGGGGCCGGGAAGGCAGCTGGCTCACCTGCGGCCGCAGAGGGAGCTCTTTAGGCGGCGGCAGGGGGAGCAGGCTGTTCTGGAGGCTGCAGGGGGAGCAGGCTGTTCTGTCTCTGCTCCCCCTCCCCAGCGCGCCGCTTAATGAGACTGGGGCCGGAATATGACGTCATATTCCGGCCCCGGTCTCTTTGTAGTGCGCTGGGGAGGGGGAGCAGAGACAGAACAGCCTGCTCCCCCTGCAGCCTCCAGAACAGCCTGCTCCCCCTGCCGCTGCCTAAAGAGCTTCCCCACAGGTAGAAATTGTGTGTCAGTGTGAGTGTGTGTGTGTGTGTGTGTCTGTATGTGTCATGGTGTGTGTGTGTGTGTCTGTATGTGTCATGGTGTGTGTGTGTCTCTGTCTGTGTCATGGTGTGTGTGTGTGTCTGTCTCTGTCTGTGTCATGGTGTCTCTGTCTGTGTCATGGTGTGTGTGTGTCTCTGTCTGTGTCATGGTGTGTGTGTGTGTCTGTCTGTGTCATTGTGTGTGTCTGTCTGTGTCATTGTGTGTGTCTGTCTGTGTCATGGGGTGTGCGTCTGTCTGTGTCATGGGGTGTGCGTCTGTCTGTGTCATGGGGTGTGCGTCTGTGTCATGGTGTGTGTGTGTGTCATGTAATGTGTGTCTGTCTGTGTCACGGTCTGTCTGTGTCATGGTGTGTGTGTGTTTGTTATGGTGTGTGTGTCTGTGTCATGTAATGTGTGTCTGTCTGTGTCACGGTCTCTCTGTGTCGTGGTGTGTGTGTGTCTGTGTGTCATGGTGTGTGTCTGTGTCACGGTCTGTCTGTGTCAAGGTGTGTGTGTCTTTTTTAAGGTGTGTGTCTGTCATGGTGTGTGTGTGTCTTGCATGGTATGTGTGTGTCTCTGTCATGGTGTGTGTGTGTCTGTCTGTGTCATGGTGTGTCTGTCTGTCATGGTGTGTCTGTTTCTGTCTGTGTCACGGTGTGTGTCTGTCATGGTGTGTGTGTCTGTCATGGTATGTGTGTGTATGTATGTTTTTACTCACCTTTTTTTCCCCCGCACGTCGTGCTGGTCTCCCCTCGACTGGCCCTGCCTCTACGGCTGAGATCATCAAGCTTGATGATCTCAGCCAATCCGCACTGACACAGGAAGCACCTCTAGTGACCGTCTGAGTGTCTGTCACTAGGAAGCAAACAAGTCAGTTTTTACATTGAAAAGCCTGCAGGGACAGGCTATAGACACCAGAGCCACTACATTAAGCTGTGTGTGTTTGTGTGTGCGCGCCTGCTAGTGAGTGGGCTTGCTTGTGTGAGTGTGTGTGTGTGTGTTCGCGCCTGCTAGTGAGTGGGCTTGTGTTTTTATGTCAATGACCTTATGTATATCAGTGAGATTGTTTGTCTATGAGGCTGTGTATCAATCAGCTTGTGTCAGTGAGATTGTCTGTGTCTGCAGGGCCAGGCAGGGCCAGTCGAGGGGAGACCAGCAAGACGTGCGGGGAAAAAAAAGGTGAGTAAAAACATACATACACACACATACCATGACAGACACACACACCATGACAGACACACACCGTGACACAGACAGAAACAGACACACCATGACAGACAGACACACCATGACACAGACAGACACACACACACCATGACAGAGACACACACATACCATGCAAGACACACACACACCATGAAAGGACCAATATTTTATATTGGAAAAAGCAATATATATATATATATATATATATGTGTGTATATATATATATATATATATATATAATCTATCAATCATCTAGGGTGGCAAGACATAGCCTTACATATTACATGCAACAATATATGGCGCAATGACTTATGGGGCTGGCATAGATTTTTTTTCCAGGGCTGCTTTGGAATCCCCAGTCCGGACCTGACTTCTATCCTCCTTCATCCAGGCCATACTTCTGTGCCCTCTACATTATCGAGCCATGCAATGTCTGAAAGCCCGCTTCTTCAGACAAAACCCGACATACAACCAACCGGTCCCACTGATGGACGAGGTACGGTGGCTCAACTGTATGCAGGCATGGAATGGCCGAGCCATCTTTGGCAATCATCCGGACTTCATCCTAGAATCGGATGCGAGCCAATCGGGATGGGGCGCCACAGATGGAACCTGGATGACTCAGGAACTCGCGACGCACATCAACTGCCTGGAGCTATTGGCCGGATCATTCGCCATTCGAAGCCTGGTGAAAGGACAATCCAACTGTTGTATCCTACTGTGGATGGACAACGTCTCCGCAGTAGGATACATCAACCACTTGGTAGGGACTCGTTCCCAAACACTAGCAGACATGATGAAGGAGATCTTCGAATATTGCCTCCCACGCAACATCTTGATCAGGTCCGAACATCTACAGTGAGAATCGAACCTCACTGCAGACTGGTACTCACGACACTGGAGAGATGCCAGCGATTGGCAATTAAACCCACAGATATTCACCTGCCTGAACGAACGGAGAGGACCACTCATAATAGATCTGTATGCATCACAAAACAACCATCAACTCCCACGATTTTACAGCTGGCTCCCGGACCCGGAGTGTACGGCGGTGGATGTCTTCACCCAACAATGGCCCACAGAAGGGGCTTATGCCTTTCCCCTGTTCGCAATGATTGCAAGAGTACTTCATCACATCCGGAGACGAGAAGTGACGCTAACCCTGTTGACACCACTATGGCTGAGTCAACCCTTGTTCCCAGACCTCCTCGTCCCGATCCTCCTGCTGAACAACTCAAACCTACTCTGGGACCCAATGGGGAATTCACACCCTATGTTCCTGGACGACCAACTAACCCTGGTGGCCTGGACTCTTTCAGGGATGCATGGTGCACCCACGAACTATCGTCAACAACTAAAGACCTTTTGTGGGACTCCTGGGCCCCAGGAACATGAAAGAGTTATCTATCTGCATGGTGAACTTGGACCAGTTGGTGTGTGGGATCGGATCTGGATCCCTTTACAGCTCCTGTTTCCAAGATCATGAATTTCCTCTCTTCCATCTTCGAGGAAGGTAAATCATCTCGCACAATCAATGTCATCAGGTCTGCTATATCGGCAAACCAATTGTTCCATCTCATGGAAGAGCAATCGGCCAAGATCCCCTGATCTGCCGACTACTACGGGGCATCAAACTTAGACGCGCCCCAGTGCACAAATACCAACTCCTCTGGGATGTGGAAGTGTTACTTATATTCCTGAGGGGATGGCCCCAGAACAAACTATCTTTACAACAACTGACAGCTAAATTTACCTTCTTACTGTGCCTAGTGTCGTTTCATCGAGTCTCGGTCATACAGGCTTTTGACTCGGACGCCTTTACTATCGGCCCGGAAGGGGTCACATTCCGAATTTCAAGACGAACCAAATCCGATTCAGCATCAGTTTTCTATCCGTTCTTCATCTCAGAACCCCAACTATGTGTAGTTATGGCTTTGCGAGCATATATGTCGGCAACGGAAACATGTTCAACCTCCCGACAACTACCTGACAACTACTGATATCATATGTTAATCCATGCGGTGCAGTCTCGACCACTACACTGTCCAGATGGATTAGATGGCTCCTCACCCTCGCAGGAGTGGATCCGTTTTTCAGTGCCCACTCCGTGATAGGAGCAGCGGCATCGTCAGCCTTTTTGCAGGCGCGTCAGTGTTGGACATCTTACAAGTGGCAGACTGGTCCCGCGAATCGACGTATCGGACTTTCTACTTCCGTCAATCTTCTAACGCCATGTTTTCTCTTTTGCCTAAGCGTTAAAATTGCAAAATATGAAGCCTCCTGTCATGTTATATATAAAAGATTATGCTAGCGCAGTGTACTAATAATCTTAATTTTAATAATGACACGAGGCAAGTATTTCCCCCTCCTTGTTATATCTTGATATTCCCTACCCAGACTGAGGTAAGTTATAAGATCCTAGAAATTAAAAAATTGCGAATTTATATAAATATTGTCAATGATATTGTACTAGTATGGATTGCATGTTGTTAAAGACAAATTTGGCTTTCACTTTTTAAGACCAGAATGTGCGTTTAATTAAATGATTTCAATAATGGTGTTATATCTTAAGTTATATGTTCATACGGTCAATTCCGTAGCACTGATACTAGTTTCCTTTTCTTTCAGCATAACAAGTCATCTACACAGATGGATGGATTATGTTTTATTTTCTGGTTACTTAAATTGGTTCCTACAAGTTAATCGTTCACTATGGACTTGTGATGTCGCATTCATCAAGAGGAAGTGATATGGATGTACTCCTGCTAATATAGACTCTGTCTGTACTCTGATTGGTTCTTTATTTCAACTGTTTTTTCTTTGCTGCTATGGAGTTAGTAAAGAAAGTTAATGCAAAATACTTGCCTCCTGTCATTGTAAGATTATTAGTACACTGCACTTTCATAATCTTCAATTTTCAGATTTAAATCATGGCTGAAAGCTTGATAAGGCCACTGTGACAATTAAAAAATGGTGTATATTAAAAAATGACAGGGGCGCAAGAGAAGAAAATATTTAATTAATTGAGCTGAAAAAGAGCCTAACAAAGGCACAAAACTGTTTGAGACACTTTGATAAATCTCCCCCTGCTTTTCCCAATGCAGCTCAATGAGAAGTCTTTACAAGGCAGGTGCTCTGGGCAACAGACTGCCTTTTGAATTTAAAGGGACACTATAGGATCCCAGACCACTCCATCTTGTTGAAGTGCTCTGAGTGCAATGTCCCTGTCCCCCTTAGTCCTGCAATGTAAATCATTGTTTACATTGCAGCACTAAGACTGCCTCTAGTGGCTGTCTAAAAGACAGCCACTACAGGTGCTTCCTGTAGTTTCATGGAGTTTGACATGCTCTGCATAAGGATTTTCATTGTCAGAGTCATTGAGTCAATGCTTTCCGACGGGGAAGGCTTAATGTGTGTGCCGTGCTTGCCGTGCATGCACATTAGGTTCCCCAATCAAATGACATCAAAGGAGGCAGACCTCCAACCAGCACCAAGGAACTTGCACCAAGGATTACCTTGAGGGAGAGGGGAATTGGGACAGGGGAACATGATGGTGTTAGGAATACATCTTTGTATTCCTAATACTAAAGTTTCCCTTCAAGAACATAAATCGCTAAGATTTTTTTTTCAATGAGATCAAGTCATGATTTGAATATATGTACAAAGTTATATCACCTACTATTTAATTATTGACACTCATCTGCACTGTAAAATTGATAATCTCTGGGGAGTTCAATTTCTTTCCCATTCAGTATAAATAAGTAGCAAGTTACGGAAACTTGCCAGCCACCTTCTCCTGCCTATGGCAGAGCCCTATTGCCCTCAGTTTCACAGATATAAGTTAAATGAGGAAATTATGAAACCTGTCTTAAATGTGGCAATACGAGGCTGAACATAAGGTAATGTGTTTTAAATTTATTTATTTTTTTAAAAAGCAAACATTTAGTGGTGAGAGTGGGTTAGTTATTAAGCAGTAAATTGTTCTGGATTGATAAAGTAATGGCAAATTGCATGCCATCTCTAGCTGCTTGGTTGTTAATTTGACATTTGCTTTTTAACAATGAAATCTCTGAGCCTCTAATATTTTATTTTGACATTCTTAACTGTAGATGCAATTCCCAATTCCATGAAGATACTAAAATATATTTGTCTTGCTGTACTGTTTTATTTGGTTTAAAGGAATATTATTTGGATTCACTTATTTTATGCATTTTGTCACTTTTTCTAGTTATTTTATTATAAACCATATAACTATAGCATTTTCAAGAAGAGAGGATTACTTTTATTACTGTATGGTAATACCGACCCAGCTTCATGTGATTCTTTGTATATTGGAAAGAAAAAAAAGGAATACATGGCACAGGTTTGTATGGTAGCATATTCTCTAAAGAATAATTTACTATTAATGCTTGACAACCTGACACTAGACTTTAATTTAAATTTAACAGATATATTCAATATATATATTTGAGATTTCTTTTCCCAGATTCACTATTTAAAAAAAATAAAAATAATTATTGACAATTTTCATTTTTATTTGATGAACCTAGATTTTTTAATGCAGTTAATATCTTGGAGATACGTATGTAATGTCAATTGTTTCCACAGCACATAGTTCAGTTTTTTAGTTAGTCTTTTTTTTCTTTTTGCCTTTAATTAAGGCTCCATATACAAATGTAAATATACATATGTGTCAATGTTTCCAATTAATATGATTTGGAGAGTCCAGGCTTTTATAAATTAGTACATAAAAACTAACTATTTAAAGACAAGACGACTAATTATTTTACCCTTGTACATTTTAAGGAATTCATGTTATTATTGCCAAGCTCAATGGTTTAACCCCTTAAGGACACATGACAGAAATATTCCGTCATGATTCCCTTTTATTCCCGAAGTGTCCTTAAGGGGTTAATAAAAGAAACTGCATCCCTGAAATACATTTGTAGCATCAAAACTGCCTAAGGGGCTATATGTACTTTATACATACAGACTATTTATTGTACATTTAAAAAAAAAATATATGTTTTAACAAATATTTTTAGACTTGGAAGTATTTGAAATTTTGATATTATTTCGATTTGATTGTCACTTTTCAAATTATACTAAATAAACACTATTAGCTATATACACAAAAAAAATCTATAGATGGTAAAATATCTGAATTTTGTAATATGTATTTTAATTTAAAACATAAAATAAAGTTTCTAGATTATTAGGATAATGATTTTGAAAAAACATATGATCGCACAATTCATGAAGTTATTCCAGTAATTTAACACTTTAGATTATGGAAGATATCCACTACATTGGTAATTGTGGAGCATTAACAAAGGCATTGTGCAGGAGATCAATTTCTACAGCTTGGGAGTTTGATTAAAATGTTTCTATCTCTTTGTTGATTCTCTATAGTTCACTGTTTATTGAATAGCCCACTTATTTTGTTGTAGTCTTTCACTGCTGACTTATTGTGTATCGCAAGTTAAAGGTTTCCTCAAATAAACACTTTTGTGATTTTTCGGTTTACTTACAATAAACAACTGATTTCAAGCTAGGTGACGCAGTAATTAATACATACAGTCAAACAGTGTTTGTCATTTTCCTTGACGAAGGGCCGAATTATATTGAAGCATCAGCTTCTGTGAGTGTTTCATCTTCTTAGTATTAAAAAAATTTGACTTTGTTTTATTTGGCAGATTCCTTGCTAAACATCATCGCAAACACACATTTGCACATAGTAAACAGTTTTTGTGATATTTTTCTTTGAAAAATTTTCAAAAAAAATAAATATATATATATACTTGTATATATAAAATGTATGCATGTTCAGGTGAGTGCAACCCTCTTGGTTTCATATGTAAATATGTTTGTGTTTCTTTATGCATATTAAAATACTAAAATCCTCTTTTAAAAAAAAAAAAAAATACAACTTTTTAAAAAAGCTATTAGAGGAAGACTTTAAGCACCATAACCCTGCTACAGTTTGATGTAGTGGTCACGGTGAAACCATTTAAGAAGAATTTGACATCTTGCCTGCTGTCCTCATGGTGCCCTGCTGCAACCCAATCTAACTTGGCTGACAGATGAGTATGTCAGGTAAACACTTTCAGGCAAAGAGCGCAGCCTGGCATAACCATGCTTCACTCAGTGACAGATCATCCAGCAACAGGTGAGGTGGTTTTTAAATGGTCTGATTACCTACTCTGGGAGGGCACTGGGGCACTCCCGGCATCATAATCATTACATTCAGCTGTAGTGATTATGGTGCTTGGAGAGTTTCTTTAAACTTAACTATTTTATGGCACTGAAACAAAGTCCTCACTGTAGCATTCCAGCCATTCAAAGAATAATGCAAAACCTGTCATGTCTCAACTTTCTGTTCATGTCTCAACTTTCTGTTCATTTGCAGTCAACTATATTAGATACAGTATATATGTGCAATGCAGCAAGGTATATGTAGATTCATTGTAAAATTTTCATCTTCAGGTTTCCTTTTTTCGCAATAAAATTCAACGATCAAAGCATCTTTGATGACATCCAACAAAAGACGTCTTCTAGCACAGTTCTCCCATCTCTCTCTCAAGATCTGAAGATCCTTCTAGTTGCATAAGAACCTTCTAATTGCATACAAAAGAGGAATACAGATTATCTGTGATATTGTAACTTTAACTTATTATAGGATGTGATCATGAAAACTAAAGCCAGAAACTAATTGTATATCCTGGAAATTATTTTTTTAGAAAAATGAATTCAGAGGTTCCCCAAAATGTCTCTGGGTTTTTAATTTATGGCTTAACAGATATCCCGGAACTTCAAGTCCCTGTTTTCATAACATTTTTAGTTGTCTACTTTATCATTGTGTTTAACAACACATCCTTATTTCTGGCTGTTCTGGTGGATCCCCATCTCCACACACCCATGTACATTTTTTTGACACATCTTTCATTAATTGATGTCACCTACACATCAAATGTTCTTCCTAAATTGTTAAATATAATTCTTACACAATGTAAGAACATTTCTTTTTCAGGATGCATAACTCCCTTGCCTCCCTGACATGCACAGAATTCCTCTTGCTTAGTGCTATGGCTTATGACAGATATGCAGCAATTTGTTCCCCTCTTTATTACTTTATTCTAATGAGTATGAAACGCTGTGCGGTGTTAATAATTACTGCATGGTTCATTGGTTTCTTAAATCCTACAGGGCATGCTGTGTTAATATCATCAATCTCATTTTGCTCATCTCGTCTAATTGACCATTTTTTCTGTGATGTTATACCTTTGCTGAAGCTCTCCTGTACGGATACCTCTATTGTGGAAATGTTGAGCTACATCGAAGGGGTCTTGTTGGTTTTTCCTGCATTTCTTCTCATCGTTATCTCATATATTTGCATTATAGCAGCTATTCTAAAAATAAAATCTGCAGAAGGCCGACATAAGGCTTTTTCAACATGTACTTCCCATCTGACCTGTGTTATTATATTTTATTTGACTGTAATGTCTGTGTACATGAGACCCACGTCAAGTGCTTCTTTAAAAAAGGACAAGTTTTTCTCTCTTTTATATATTGTTTTGGTGCCAATGTTAAATCCAATTATTTACAGTCTTAAAAATCAGGAAGTTAAAAATGCATTAAAGAAACTTAAGAACACTGTATCATAGTAAGAAAGGGAAATTGATTTACCTCTATGTATGTTGTGGAAGATTGGGTACATACATCATTTTAACCCCTTAAGGATACATGACATGTGTGAAATGTCATGATTCCCTTTTATTCCAGACGTTTGGTCCTTAAGGGGTTAAAGACAAAATAATTAAAGACAATTTGTTTTACAAAGTTGTTTGCATTTTTTTTTTTTTACTAGATAACAATATATTTGGAAAGTGGAGGAAGGGCTAAGCTATGCATTGTAAGAGGAGAAGTCAAGTTTCATATATATGTGGGAGATGCATAAGGTTTGTTAGGGAAATCTAACTTTGTAACATGATTTGTATTCAGAAGGGACTTTATTTTCTAAATAGAGCACTGATAGAATGGGGGAATCGGGGGCTGTATGTGTTTGTAACATGAACAAACCATAAGCATGTTGGTGAGGATATGGATGACAGAACTTTGTATTTATATATGATAATTAATATACATTTTACAGAAAGACCAATGAGAAGAAATAATTGCAATAGTAAAACAGAGTAAATATTTAATGATGTAAACTAGAAGTATCTAAAGATTGTGGTATCTGTATGTGTGCCAGTGTGCAAGTGTGCATGTATAGCTGCATGTCTCTGTGTATCTGAGTGTGTGTACATATCTGTGTCACTGTGTGTATCTGTATTTGTGTAAATGTGTATGTGTACCGATGTATCTCTGTGCATCTGTATGTGTGTAAGTGTGTATGCGTATCTGTATGTCCGTATGTATCTGAGTGTGTGTATGTTACTGTGTGTTTGTGTGTGTGGCAGTGCATACACCCCAATATTCAAATGCCAATACTGCACACAAATACACACCTGCATTCAAATAACAACAATGTGCATAAACACACCCATGCATTAAAAAGAAGGTAGGAGCAGTGCCTTATATATACTTAATTATGTTCACATGCAATGATAAGAATAGGACAAAAATTAAGTCTTATAGTGTAGTAATATTGCATGCACAAAGGGAATAGGAGAATGAGATGCACTTACACTTTGTGGAGCTACATATTAGCTCCAATGAATAATCCTGAGTGGTACGATCCCACTTATAAATTGGAAATAAGCCTCTTGATCCAAATGTGGCTTCCAATAAAATATGAAAAATAAGACCAAAAGAACATTATAGTGCATTATGATCTTCAGGAAATCACTATATTGGTAAGTAAATATATAAGCTCACATTTTATGATGACTCCTACATTGAAAAATGGCACAAACTCTGGGATATGTTATTGGTTGTGGTCCTCTCTGTGGGTATATAAAATAAAAAAGTAAAGTTAAGTAAATGCACTCACATAACATGGAGACTCTAGATGGCTCCTATTAGACCGTATAGAGTTGAACAATCCTCAATCCAGGATATATGAGTGATTGTGGTCCATGGGTATACAAAATAAAAACAAAACTATATAGTGCACATCGTAAAATAAAAATGGTAAAAATGAATTGAGGATTACTTACAGTATCCACAGCGATGTGAACTAGGTTTGCCCCCAGCTATGCTAATCTCTTCATGGCGAATTGGGAGGACTCCGCCGTGTGGAGTGGACATGGCTAGGGGTCAAATCTGGTTGTTTACCGTCGCTAAATAGATGACTTGTTTTTTATTTGGAAGGGTCCGGAATCAGTTTTGGCAGAATTTTTTGAGCTTTTAAATACCAATAATAGAGGAATTAAAAAGTTCTAATCATGGCAATACCTCTGTTAATTTCTCAGACTTAAAACTCTTTGTGGAAAATGACCCCATCTTTGAGTGGGGGTAACATTACTAAAACTTTAGGACAAAGAGAAATGAAAGGAGTTTTTTATTTGAACACCTTGTTATCTACTGATCTTAACACTGATTTTGATTTGCATAATTTTTTTAATAATATATGTTCTTTTAATTCATGTGTTCCATTTTTCCCCATATCCTATCTGACCCTTTACTAATTTTATGCACTTATTTTAATTATATTTGGTATTTTATTGGAGTCTATATTGCTTTATACATTCAGATGTTTGTTTTTAGGTTATTGTAATTTTCCTTTTACTCCACTAGATGGCGCTGTCCGCCATTCAGCTAGTAAATTAGCAGGAGCTTAATCATAGAATTCCTTTTAACCTACAGATGGCGATATCTGCCAGCTTTCGAACTACACTCATATTTGTGTAGCCTGGATTGTTGCACATGGACGCCATCTTGGTGGAGGCCGATTTTACTCTTACTTTATTTTTGTATAAAGTTATTTTTAGCATAAAAAACACCAAATTCCATCCCCTCCCCACTACCCTTCTCTTTTACCTTACTAAGTTTTTAAATATTTTTGTATGATTTATTATGTTAATTAATTTTGGTCATATGACCTGTGACGTCACATCACCAGTATTTTCAAATCCCTCCCCCCCATTTAAGCAGCTTAGGTTTCCCATGTCTGTAAAACACTTTTGAGTAAAAAGTCTCTTGCCAGGTAAAAAGTCTCTTGCCAGGTGAAATGCGTGTATTTATTATTATTATTATTTTATTATTTATATAGCGCCATCAGATTCCGTAGTGCTGTACAATGGATGGACTAACAGACATGTAATTGTAAGTAGACAACTGGACATACAGGAACAGAGGGGTGGAGGGCCCTGCTCCATGAGCTTACATTCTAGAGGGAGTCAGGTATAGTGACACAAAGGGTAAAAGTAGGGGTATGAAGTAGGTTGTTAGAAAATTATTAATTGAGGGCTTAGTAGGTCATTTTTGACAGTTGCAGGAGAGGAGTCATGAAGGGTGGGGGTTAAAAACCTGTTTAATTAATATGCTTTCTTGAAGAAGTGAGTTTTCAATGATTTTTTGAATGAGTGGTGACTGGGTGAAATTCTTACTGAGAAGGGAAGGGAGTTCCACAGAAGAGGTGCAGCCCTGAAAAAAGTCTTGGAGACGAGCGTTAAAGGTGGGAGTACGAACAGAGGATATACGTAAGTCTTTGGCAGAGCGTAGGGGCCTCGACGGGACATACTTGTGTATTATGGAGGATGGGTAGGTTGAAGCAGCAATATGTAGGGACTTGTAAGCAAGCACCAGAATTTTAAATTGAGCCCTATGTCTATCTGGAAGCCAATGCAGGGACTGACAGAGCGGGGAGGAGTGAGTGGTACGGGCGGACAAGAAAACGAGCCTCACCGTCGCATTCATTATAGATTGCAGCGGTGCAATCTGGGAACACGTAAGACCACTGAGAAGAGTATTGCAGTAGTTCAGGCGAGAGGGAACAAGAACATGGACCAGCACCTTAGCCTCATCCGGGATTAAATACACTGCTCAAAAAAATTAAAGGAACACAACAATAACACATCCTAGATCTGAATGAATTAAATATTCTTCTGAAATACTTTGTTCTTTACATAGTTGAATGTGCTGACAACAATATCACACAAAAATAAAAAAATGGAAATAATTTTTCAACCCATGGAGGTCTGGATTTGGAGTCACCCTCAAAATTAAAGTGGAAAAACACACCACAGGCTGATCCAACTTTGATGTAATGTCCTTAAAACAAGTCAAAATGAGGCTCAGTAGTGTGTGTGGACTCCACGTGCCTGTATGACCTCCCTACAATGCCTGTGCATACTCCTGATGAGGTGGCGGATGGTCTCCTGAGGGATCTCCTCCCAGACCTGGACTAAAACATCTGC